TTGTGTATATTTGTGTATATTCGTGTGTTGTCTACTTCACAGATTGTTTCACTAACGCACTATATTTTAGGAAAAGTAGCACGGATGACCGGGTATTTCCACAGTTAGATGCTGATACCATCTCCTTTGCAAGTAGCGCCCACCACGCTTCTCGGTCGTCCATCAAGCGCTTTGCGAGTTGGCGCATCAGAGCGACGTTGTTCATTAAACTCGCTGTCTTCCGGGATCGCCCGACGAGCGTCAAGACTCAGTATTTTACAACTAGACGGGTTAGGCCACAGCTGTGTAAACCAGCTGAGCGCATTGCGTTTTGAATGGTAGTCCAGTGTTGATCTACACTCCTTAGTGGGGTAGTAGTTATTCTTGTGGCCAACTCATTTTGGTAGCCGGTCAGCACGGCCGGGTCGTAAAGTTTGGCGACTTCAAGCTGACAGCAAGTTAGGGGCCAACAAATCGCATAGACATCTGGGCAAAAACACACACAAAGTGTGACCTCGTTGTCCTGAGTTCAAACTGCGCACTGCCGCCCGTCTTTCGCATTTCTGTATTTGCATGACCGCAGCCCTGAAAGTTGACTGCACATTTTATAAGCACACTGAACAACAAGGAGGAAGAAAAAGTATTTAATATCATATGATAAGAATCGCAGTTCAAAACTGAATGTCTTCGGACCACCGAAAACGTTTCCAAAAATGACATCTGGTCAACCGTGTTTCATTGCCGTCAAACAGTTCGTTCACTGTAGTTATTCCTACAATCTGATGAAGTTTCAATTGTTTCAGGGAGGCGATTGAAAAGGTGAAATCAAATGTGTATACTACACGGTAAATTTCCTCTATCTACAGGAAAACTGGATAACGAGTATCCTTGGGACCTTTCTTACCTTTAACCGATCATATCTTGTCAGAGGTACAGCGGGAGTTATGAACACAGTGTTTTCGGGAGTGGGTGTCTCGGATGGTTGCTGGTCACTCTTCCTTTTCACCTCATGAACTGCTCCTCCACGACCAGGAGTTTCAAATAGCTACTACTGAAAAAGCCCTACTCACTGCCTTCTTATGGCGGTGTTTTACCACCAAAATGAGAGGACGGAAAGTCAACATCCGCATAGGTGAACCACTGGCAGTTTATCTAGGGGAGTTGGCAACACATCCATTTTATAAATGGACCAAACCGAGGCAGGCAGAAAGAAGATTCATCAAGCGTCGTATGCAAATTAGTGTCGAGAGTGCCAGAAATGCCAGTCGAAGACTGAAGGTACAACTACGCGAACACAAACTGGCAGTCAAAAGACATGAAGAGAAATCGCGAATTTGAATCCCTAGGGATGCGGAGTCACGTCTTCAAACTGAATAAGGCAAAAGAAATCGGAAGAGGAAATACACAGTCGATGCGGTACTTCATTGAAGCATGATGCTCTTGGAGTGACAGTATAAACAAGCATACAAAACTGGCACCTATTTATCACTATCTGAAGAAGTACTGGTAACCCAAAACGGTCCCAGTCAGAGCGCTTCTAACCCGTTCGAACTGGTTTGCGGCTGGCCCACGAACGAAAAGGGGTCACCATATCAGCGAACCAGCCAATCAAATCGCAGCGAATGGTTGCAATAGACCAATAGGATTGAAGGGACGCGAGCAGCCAATCAAAACCCTCAAGCAGAACTACATAAACCCGGTCAAACTGAGGATGTTGCCTAACCTGCCTACGAAACGTCTGCGAATAATGCTTCCAGCTCGGAGAACACACCAACATCCGCACCCCAAGCTACGATCATTCCACATCGTATCCATTATTGTACCGTGATTTGTTTGGCACAACCAAGAGTGTGAAGATATAAATACATGGATACATAGCGGTATCTGCAACACCGCTAGGGGCCGTTATGCTACTCGGTTACGTTTCGGTGTAGGAGGTGGGCTAATGGTACCTCATCCCATCTTTCTGCTCAAGGTTGCATCTTTAGCCGTCGCACCCCTAAATATCGTCCCTAAGTTGGCCTCTTAGCGAAAGCCATGTTGAGTAGAAACGGTGGTCTCAGTGGCGAGTCGCGATTGACGGATCTCATTACGGTCTGCATACCTGTAGTACAGAGCACAGGGATGCCAAACCCATACGCATCCTCGAGCACTAACACCGATCTTCGGTGACCACTTCTTCAATGATCTTAGGCTCCCCATATTCAAGGTTGGTGGCAGACCCCCTATCAGCGACCAGGGATAGTGCTCACTAGAATATAGGTCTGCTTTTCAAATTAAATCCCTGTAGACTCCACTTCCAACCTTTAGGGTAGGCGACCGAGCCATCGTTCGGAAAAAACGATAGCTACTCTTTTTGGTTTTCATGTGGCTCAACCCTCCAAGCTTTATGGAGTAGGCTGTCACGAACACTAAATACTAGTGACGGTGGGTTTACCCCTCCAGTTTTCATCACACTATGATATTTAATAAAAAATTCACAAGTCGAGATGACATTCTGTACGCGAGCAGGATGACCAGACTTCAGACAGATATAAAACGATTTCAATCATACTTTCAGTCATTTGAGTGCCAGTAGGCTCCTGAAAGATAAAAAAATACAGTGAATTATTGCAGTCTTATCATTCTCGCCGCCATTCGCCCTGGAAAATATTGCTGGGACTGGAAAAATTACAACTGCGTTTGCGGTATGTAAAACCATCCACTAAGCGCTACATGTTTCCAAAACACCAATAACAACAAGTTAAGTCAAGGAATCACTCTACACACCTCGAAGGGTGGATATTCAGCAACAACATACGGCACATGAGTGAGCAGCAGAACATGTGTGAAACGTTGTTGTATGCAGTCGTATTAACACGTCCTCCCAAGGACAACCAGATCCTACGGTGATCAGAAGACGAAATGAAACCGGTGTTTCCAGTTGTCACAGCTTTGCACGATCATGTGAGGGTTTCGGTTCTCCAAATGGTTCCTCACCTTATTGTTCGAGGCGGCGTTTCTACCTTTGGCATAACTAAGTGTTACCTAAAAAGTAGTAACCTCCCAAAGTGAGGAACTTGAATGGAAACCCTGTCAGTAGGTAGATCCAGAATACGATCTCGTCCGGCCCCACTAACTGAAATCACTTTACATGCATGGATGAAGCTGTGGTGCACCGGATTCTTCGGATCCCGGCTATCTTTACTTGGGTTTATCCCACCCACCAATTGTTTTTTTTTATTCAACATTTGTGTGGTGAACAGCAGACGAAGCGAAACCCAGTCACGAAGACCTGCTGTTCCGTCACGGAAATCGGTAGCCTAAGCCACGGGACTTGGAGTGGCGAACCAAGGTTCCACTAGGTTAGGCGTGGTATTGAACCGGACGACAGCAAAGCTATCTGCCACCAAAATTGGGTGGCGGAGGTGGGGCTCGAACCTCGGACCACAAGGGTCCAAGGCATGCCAGTGATAGCGACTAAACCACTGCGCAACCACCACCCTGGTTACCGGGATGTAGCCATTACCGCATAAAAGCAACATCGTGAAAGTTGGGTGACCAACGTGAACCAAAGGAAACGAACTGTTTTGTATGATTATCGTAGTTTCCTGAGCCAAACCTACCACCACTACTGGCTACCCCTTTGATGGAATAACAAGGAGTGGACTGAAGAGCGATAAATTTGGAATAATCCACTTGATTGTTCACAGGCATCTGACACTGTGGATGGTCTTTGGAGGGAATTTACCTCAGTGAGCTGAAGAGATGTAAGTAAAGTTTACTCGAAATGAGACAGAAGGTAGGTAAATCAAATGCACGTAGCAAGTGGGTGGATGATGCATGAGCGCCACTGTTTACAACACCCTACTCAGGGCTCCTAACCATCAATCGGACTGATCCCGAGACCCACAACCGCGCAGTCTAATGTAACCTATGTGACCCAGTTCCTTGGTCAGACTTAGTTTGATTACCCTTGAGTTTTTCCATCTATCGCCTGCCTTGGCAAACATCTCACGGCCCCGACAACATAAAGATTGTGCACTTGCTACAGTACTCGATCGCGAATACCCAAAACTACGTGCTCAGACCCGGAATCACTTGTCCAGTTAAAAGGAACAGGTAATCTTATCCACTTGTATTGTTTTGCTATAGGGAACCACAGACAAGAGGACATGGAATCAAGGATGCCAATTTCACCGGGGATAGAAAGGGGAGAGGGAAAAATACAGGATACAACCACCGGGGTAAACAATGGTGTTTTTGTTTCTGAAACACATGATGTGATGAAAATAGTTTGGATTCGCGTCAGAGGGTGGTCGGTAATAAGTGTTTATGTACAGACAATGAAAATATTAGTGAGACGAAGGTTGACATCACGTCTGAACCGCGAGAACCGGCGTGGGTGAGCGCACTAATCTTTTGCCAACCTATTCGCCATATCAATTATATTTATACAGATAAATATATTAGTGTGTCCTGTACACGGGTTTACAAATCAGATGAGGGGAATGTTGAGTGGACAGTGTGCACAGCAAAACAATTTTCGATCAGACAAGAAGTGCCGATTAGGACGTGAGAAAAATAGTTGGTGAAGGATTAGTGGTGCGGCATATTATGTGTGCGGTGTGGCGTCGAAGGTGCGTAGACTAAAGGCGCATGACGGAAAAATAATAGCCAAGTTAGTATAGGAACGACATTCGGGGATGGGTTGGGAAGGGAATCTGATAGGAAAAGAAGGAACTGGACAAACCTGATATCTCCGATTTAGTTGGAGGTGAGTCAAATTTAATGAACAAAAACATCGTTAACAAAAATATGGATCTGTGCGGAAACATGGGGCGATCCAGATGCGAGTGTGGTTTATGAAAAAGATAAAAACAGTAACATACACAACGAAGACAACAATGACAGACCCACAAAAATCGAACGCATGACTGACTGTATACGAAAATATGTATAAGATAGTGGACAAGTTCATTGATCTAGTAAAAATGAGACGCACAAAACATAATTTCTTCGCTTAGACAAAAAAGGATAATCTACACACCGTTCGCTGGACACAGTCCAGTACGACGCAAACAAACTTGGCTCTGAGCCGTCAAAGCCAATTTGATTGCTGAGGAATTCAAACGTGGGGCACGTAACAGTTCAATGATGGATACCATCTTGATGGAACTCAGAACTAGATCAACCATGAGCTCTTCCATCGTTCGAGGTCTCTTTGGACGGATTCGGCTCTCTACCGACGCGGAACACTGTTCGCTGACTGCGGATTCAAGAACCGGACTGGAAGGTTCGCATGCGTCGGATGAAGCGAAACCCGTTGAACGCGCGCTCTGAACCAAGTCATTCACTGACTGAAGGAATTCGTCTGAGAGTTCATCTAATGTGACCATATTCTCGGTGCCCTCCATGGAATCCAAACAATCCGGGAATAATGGAATATCGGAAGAATGCTCCGATGCTTGGCCCTCAGCACATTCTGTGGAGAGAACAAAATCAGCGTTAGGAAATTCCTCCACATCTGAAAGTGACTTCCCGATGAGATTTGGACGCGCAATGTTATCTTCTGTCAATTTATCTGTCACAGGCTCATATAAACCACCGGAATTCGGAGGTGTTGGAAACAGACTTGAAGAATCGGGCTCCAAAGCTGAGAGCAGTTTGGTGAATGCCTCCTCGGGAGCCACATTGGCCGGTAAAAACGGCACATCCCGCTCCAGGCCCCAGAGGAATGCTGGGTTCAGTAAACGCTGGTCACAGGCTTCGGCCAAGCTAGTTAGCANGTTAGCAAATCGTCGTGACTAAGCAGATCCGTGGTAGCTAGCGATTCAGGACTGCTGGAATCTGGCAAAAGCAGTTGTTGTGGATCTGAATTCTGGTCCGTTGCTGGGTTATTATCGAAATCAACTAGCACGCTGGAAGGTTTCGAATCGGCGTTGTTCAGACTCAGTTGGCAATCGGGGAGCTTCAACGATTCTTTTGATTTGTTTCTGCTTTTGGCCTTGGAACTTTTCTTTTTTGAACTTCTCTGTCGGCCTGAAATGTAACGATAAAACATAAAGAAATAATTCGACGATAAACGATGCGATTAGCAAACTTTTATGTCCATATAATCTTTCCTCAAATTCAGACAACCGAAATGACGCATTTCATGAGGTTGGCCTGTTCTTGTGTAGGATTCAGTCCACTTAAAAATAACAAGTATGTATCAGGTGATCTACAAAGTTAGGTAACACAAACTCAAATTGCATGTCATGGAGTCGATTCGAGATAAATCGATCTCGAAAAATGATTCCGATTATTCTGTTTTAGATTTTACGGTTAGGTACATATGATCTCAGCATCTCAACGATTCTTTAAGGCTGCTTTATCTCCAATCGAGTACTTAACATGCATAATAGGGAGTAGAACCATAAGAATGAATTCACAAAGAATCACCGGATACACATACCTGATGAACGGCAAGGACCGCTAAACCGGTCGTGTACTTCCGGGGATTTTTTCCGGTCATTCGTGTGCTAATTACTGGAAAACCATGTTCACAAAATAGGCATTTTGAAATAAGAAACATTACATTTGGTCACACAGAAAGATCTGTGATCTATTTGCACATGTTTGCGTTAAGTTCTTGTCGTTTTTCGGTAGCATCATAATTCCACCTCAACATAATCCCCCTGGTATACAGTTGTGAAATGTGGCACCAAATGAGACATAACAATGCTACCATTAACGAACGTTTAAAACTAAGTACAACAAAGATCCACGAAAATGGTAATGAGGGTGTAGGGTTGCGGTTATTGGATGGATGTAACTGAGATTCAATCACTTTTGTCGTACGACGAAATGTGTGTGGTCTGGAGTTCTCTTGGTAAAACACTGTTGCTTTGGGATTCGCTAATACTGATCGATTGTCTCCTTTGTTCGCTTGTTCCTCAGTAGTTGACAGCAAGCATGTACTCGGCTCGATTGTTTGTTTCTTCGGAAAAACGTCAGAAGAAAAAACCATACCCTCGTGATTCTACCAAACTGATGGTACCATGACCTGCTTTCGAGGAATATCAAGTTTATCACTACTCAACCATGATTTTTTTCATGGTTTCAAGCAATCGAGTCTTCATCAACAGTCAGCATACACAGCCGAATGGGGTGGGTTTTTCTTGCGCTTGAAACGCGGGTGGGGTCACGATGATGAAGTACGTCAACCAACGCAGTGGCTGAACGTTTTATTCTTCCAATTTTTATTCTCTCACAAGCCAGTCCGGATTGTTTTCAAGTCATCTCCACGGTGAATTTCACCAACCGCTAACGATTCACTCATAGGACGAAAAAAGCTTGGCCCACCTTCACTTTCAACATGTTTCGGAAGGGTCCTAGTGCATAAAGATCTTTCGTTCATTTATGCGCCAATCGGATCCCATTACTGCCTCCAAATGCTTACCATCAAATTCGGCTGACCGACCAGAACGGTATGGTCATTTTAGTGTGACAAAAAGTTACAAGAACAAAATACACGAACTAATTCTCCCGTAGAATTTTTTTATTACACACATTTGTGTAGTGAACAGCAGACGGGTCGAATCCCATAGTCACAAGGACCTGCTGCTCTGTCATGGAAATCGGTAACCTAAGGGCTTAGAGCGGCGAACCACATAAGGCCCGCTAGATTAGGTGGTATTGAACCGGTGTGTTTGTGATAATGCACCAATACAGTAGACGATACATCACTGAAAGCATCTATTTACAGTGCTCCGAACAATGGGGCAATGAGGGCAAAACACGTTATTTGATGTCCTTAGAACCAAAATCGTTTCAGCACCGTGATTCGTGCGCCGGTTTTGGTTGCCCATTTGGATAAAACAGCAGAATGATGAGAAGATAGCGCCTTTACATAGACTGAAGTTACAAGAATAATGAGCAGATGCATGAGTGCCATTGGTTGCGACACCCAGCCATATCGCTCAATGTCTCTAACGATCGGTGACCATGATCTCTGGATCCCCAGACAGGGAGCCTAACAGAATCTATGTCAGCCAGTCTCCTGGTTAGGATTTTCATACCCTCATGCCAGGTCTAAGTTTGACCGCCCTTGATCTTTTTGCAACCGCTATCTGCCTCGGCAAACATCGCTCGCCGTGGCAACCTATCTGGTGACATGCGTAGCACATGTCCCAATCAGCGTAATCTATGCAGGTCGACCACTTGCTCCAGTGCACGACCTCGATTACCTAAAACTCTATGTCCAACCTCAGCAAGATTAGGCAAGGCTGTCTATATGTTCTATTTCGCCTGTTCACCTAGCATGGAATTCAGTTCACCCGAGCTACGATAACCGATTTTCAATAAGCTGTCTAGGTGTATTTATGGCCAATTATTGTCAGTAAATCCCATCACATTGCTAGAAATAAACCTCAGGGTATATAGTAACTCACCAATACTAGCGTTAGGATTCACGGTCAAAGATTCAACCAGAGGCGTAATGGCACTCAGTGGTGTTCGGGATCCTGATTTCGAGAGCGATTGAGCGGCAGGAGAAGCAGTACCATCGACAGCAGTATCAAGATTTTCTAGGTTTTCGGGCTTTTGTTTGGTTGAAACAGGACAACTGAACTTTAGGACATTCTTCAAATCCAGGGAGTCTGTGGGGATAGGTAGTGTCGCGCCGGTAGACGACTGTACTGGTTGTTGGTGGTGGTGGTGATGCAACTCATCTCGACCAACAACAACCGAGCGTGAATGACGCCGGACACGCTTGCTCGGAGGTCCGATTTCGGGGCAACTGATGGGCTCGCTGATTTCCGGTACGCACTCCGGAGTATGTCCATCAAATCGGGAAAGATCAGCTGAGAGACGTAAAAGGCGCCGTGCACGTTGAGAAAAGCGTGTCAAGTTGACCATCAGTTTATCTACCCAGCCCACATGAAGTACAGGAACCGGAGATCCCTCCTCCCAGAGACATAAATTGTCGTAAAATGCCAGTAGGTAGGCCAAACACTGAGGATCGTCTGAACGGCAAAAGCAATAGAAAGAAACGTGGCCAGTTTAATCATAAAGGATGGAGTAAGTGACACGCGAATTTGCAAATAATCACACATTGGGATGTGAGTTA